TGGGCGATGCGGGGAGAGAAAATAAAGCGTCTGGCGGGGTGGGCACGTCCTGCTGGACCTGCGCGATCCTGCTTATCGCTCAGCGGGGCGAGGGGTGGATGGGGAGATCAAAGGCTGGGGTTTAGCCCCGCTGTCGCCTTGCACAGAGCCGGGCGCGGGTGGTAGGCATGTCTCTGAAAACACAGGGGCTGCTCATGGCCCCCCCTTGCCTTGCAGCCTTTCACCAGGAGTGAGATCATTGGCTTCACCATCGGATCCATCTCCTCCGTGCTCTACCTGTGCTCCCGAGTCCCCCAGATCTACACTAACGTAAGTGCTGTGCCATAAGCTGGGCAGGACAGACCCCCGGGGTCCAGAGATTTCGGACTGAAGAGGGGCGGTGGGATCATCTTCCTCCTCTTTGCTCAGAGGTCCCAGGTCCCCGTCTCTGATCATTTCATAAGGGACTATTTTTCTGCATTTCTGACCTGAAACCTGATTCATTTTTCTCCCCTCCCTTTAACATCCCAATATTTTGAGGGTGGGGCTTTCATTTTCTCTTTATTCGCAAGCAAAAGGGGAACTAAAAGGCTCTTGGCATTGAGTCACCACCCTTTTTCTTCCCTTGTTTTGGGGGGAGGGTGGTTAATACTGATTTCTAGTGAGATCTCCGAGAGCTGCACCCAACCTCCTCTCTCTGGCCTCTCTTCTTCCAGTACAAGAGGAAATCCACTGTCGGGGTCTCCTACACCCTCTTTGCCCTGGTGATGCTGGGGAACTCGCTCTACGGCCTCAGCGTCCTCCTGAAGAACCCCGAGCCGGGGCAAAGCGAAGGCGACTACGTCCTGCGCCACCTCCCCTGGCTGGTGGGCAGCCTGGGCGTCCTTTCCCTCGACGTGGTTGTATCCTTTCCCCGCCAACGCTTCCCTCCGGGCTCGCATCCCGCCGGCAAGGCTTTGCAGGGAGTGATCCCGTCTCGGGGCAGGCAGGGTTAGGCAGGAGCGGGTGGGTTGGTGCTACTTAGCAGTTGTTTTTGAGCTGTGCTTGTTCACCCGGTGAGTAATTTATGGTGTTGCAACAGCGGAATGCTTCAGACCCTCGTGTGCTTTAAGCTCGTTGTCCTGTTTCCACCTCTCCTGGCACAAACAGCCTTTTTTCGGGTGGCGAGACCCAACGCGTCGCGTAGATCCACCCCCGCTTGCGTCAAGAGCCTTAACCTCTTCGCAGATCTCCTTCCAGTTCCTTGCTTATTGGAGAGGAAGACCTGGTACCGGCCAAGAGAGGGATGCTCTTCTCGGCGAGCAGCGTGACAGCTCGGAGAGCTGACGAAGGGACCTGCCCTGGAGTGAGAACGGGATGATGCAGACGAGAAAGCTGGCCCCAAAGCTGGGCAAGCCGGCCCCTCCGTCCTGGCAGCGCTTGGGAGGAGAGGACTTGAGCTAGCGGGTGACATCTTGTGCTGCTAAGACGCGAAGCCCAGCCCGGTGGCAGATGATGCTGCTGAGAGACCTCGTGCCTCTTTGATGCCCATGATGCTATCGGGATAAACAGGGAATTATTTGATACCTCAAAAGGTCACTCCTTGCTGCTCGTACGCCCCACGGCTGAGCCCGGTCACGTCTGCTTTACCTGCTGTCTCTCAAGGGTGAGCCGGAGCTTCCTCGGTACTGGCAAATGTGGGAAGAGCCCAGGGGGCTGTGGGGAGGGAGATGACCGACCTGCCACGAACACCAGCACCACTCACCTCTGTGGGCCTCGCGTCGCCAGCGCCGAGCAGTTTCTGGAAGATACGGCAGTGGCTGGAACTGCTTCGGAACCTCCTTCGGAAGGAGGAGGGGACGGAGCAGCAAAACCAAAGTGTTGTGGTCCACACGTACCTATCTTAATTAGCACGGTTCACACGTCTATAAACCAAGTCCTTGCCCCACGTGCCTCCTTTAGCTTTATTTTGCCGGTTCGTCTGCCAGCTCCTGCCTCTTGCTTAACGCATCTCATAGTCCCCATTTCTCTGACTTCTTATTTTTTGCCTCACCCACATTTTAATTGCATGGGCTTCCCGGGGAAGCCCCTCCATCGCTTTCTGGTGAGCTGCGGAGGCACTTACCCAGGCAGAAGATGCTGCCTCTCTGCTCGGTCTGGTTTTTGGTCCTGCCTTCTCTCGTTGATGAATTTATCCCCCTCTCGGGGCCCCTGCACACCAGCACGGC